ATGAATGCAGAAGTAATAAAATATTGATTAGCCACAGTTATGGCTTATGTTGTGTATTCTGTTGAAAGTTATATAATTATAAATTTGTTGGCTACTTCTGAGTGAACCTAAGTTCTGTTTTTTAAATTTTTAAAACTTTTATTCATTTATTTGGTACCTGACCTTGCCACGCAGCTTGGGCACATAGTGATCCTCCTGCCTCGGTCTCCCCAGTGCTGGGGTTACAGGCATGTACTACCATGCTAGGTCTTGGGGCCTGGCACGGTGAGCCTGGGGTTCTGGGGCTGGCACAGCATCCACTACTGGGGATCATACCTGGGTCCTTGCGCTTGCCAGGCAGGTGCGTAGACCACCGAGCTATCTCCCAGCCCTCTGTTTTAATACTGTATACACATTTACAAGAAATAGCTCAAGTATAAATTTTATTTATGCATGCAAATTGAGCGAGTTTCACTGAGAACTAACTGACTTTGCTCAGAAATTCCTCAGGCCTGCTTTACATTTTACTGACTTTGCAATCTTTTGAGGGACACTTTGGTTCTCTTCAGTTTTTAGTTATCACGGGTAACCTGGTACAAATGATGGTCTACAGAATTGTTGTGGACACATTTTTCCATTTCTCTGGGATAAATGCTGATGAGTACAATTGCTGGGTAATATGGTAAGTGCATATTTACTTTTATTTTTATTTATTTATTTTATTTTATTATTATTTTTTGTATTTTAGGGAAGGGTCTACAGGGTGTTCAGGGTCTCACTGCTAGATTGGATTTGTAGTGATCCGCCTGTTTACAGCCTCCAAACAGCTGGGATTACAGGGGCGTGCCACCACACCCAGTCTCAATTGCTGTCTCAGCATGCCCCAGGGGCGCGGCTGGCACAACAGACCTGGGGATGGGGGTGGAGTGGGGTGGGGGTGGGGTGGGGGGTGAAACCCCTGGCCCCTGAGCCTGCTTGTAGGCACTTTAATCTGCTGAGCTATTTGGCAGCCCACATATTAGTTTTAAAAGATATTGCAGAGCTGTTGTTCCTATTTAATCATTTATTTTCTAAGATAACACGAGCATAGAACATGAACATGCACATGAAAACATAAAAATGCAATGACTATAAAAAGCTTTTAAAAACATCCCTTTGCCTCTGCTGTCCAGGCCCTGACCTCATCTCTGTAGGCTACCAGTTAGGAAAGCAGCACATCACTTCTCATTATTATTCTAAAACTTACCTTTGAAGGTTTTTATGGTTCAACTCTAAATATTTTCCTTCCTTCTAAACTGATGAGTAGAGAGAACGTGGCTTATGTAAGCATTCCTCGTGTTGATAGACTTTTGTTATCCTTATTTCTGCTGTCATCTGTAAGTGATGCAACGCATACTTCAGAAGTAGCTGCATGTGTATATTTCTGTTTCTTATGTTCAGATTTTTTTTGTTGGGGGGGCTACTGGGGCTTGAACTCAGGACCTTGCACTTGCCAGGCAGGTGCTGTGCCCCTGAGCTACTTCCCCAGCTCCATATTTCTGTTTCTTAAAGGTGCAATTAGTGGGTCTCAGAGATGCAATGTGTGATACTAACTCTGACAAATTGCCTTCTTAAAAGAATGAGTCAATACTCCTGTCAGAAATGCATGAAAGTTTCTTCACACCGTTGTTCACACTCAGTATTATCAATTTTATTAATCTGATGAGTGAAATTTTTCAATGTAGTATTAATTTGTATTTCACTGATTCACAGGGAACACACATCTTTTTTTTTTAATGTATTTGGTACAAGGTCTCACTATCTGAGGTGTGTGAAAGAAAGAGAGAGAGAGAGAGAGAGAGAGAGAGACAGTGTTTATCAGTCTTGTTTTGTGTAGTCTTATTAATCTGTCTTGCTTTACATCTCCTGAATTTTGTTCTTGTTTAATGTTCTTATATTTTTTTTTCTAAAGTTGTTGGTCTACAAAATATTGGTGGTTCTTTGTGTGTGTGTGTGTGTGTGTGTGTGTGTGTGTGTGTGTGTGTGTGTGCGTATGGCCAGCTCAGCCCACCAGGGGGCAGGCCTGGCTGGCATGTGGTGCTGGGGGATTGAACCGCGGTCCCTGTGCTTTGTCAAGCTTGTTCTAAGTAGGTGCTTTAGACCACTGAGCCATCTCACCAGCCCATATTGGTGGTTCTTGACTAATAACGGTTTAATTAGTTTTTCCAACTTTTTTCAGTTGTTTTTACTTATGTGGTACAGGATCTTGCTACGAAGCTTGGACTTGTAGTGATCCTCCTGTCTCAGCCTTCCCAGCACTGGGATTACAGGTGTGTACCACCATGCCCAGTTTCAATGGCTGGTACAGTGTGCCTAGGGTTCTGATCCCTGTACAGCATGTGGTACTAGGGATTGAACCTGCATCCTTGTTTCTGCTAGGCAGGCATTTTTCCAACTTTTTGATAGGGTGAGAATGATACAATTCGGTAGAGGTCATACTTGTAACTTGGAGCAGCAGCAACAAGTCACAGCTCCCAGTCAGCCCCAAGATCTTAAAAGGAAGCAACCTAATACTCTAGTGGGCTATGCTGCTGGGCTATGGTGTAGTTAACACATATTTGATTTAATAATAGCTCCAATCTACAGTGAGTCTATGAGGAGATAACCTCATGAGTCAAGGGACAACTGTACTAGTATGTTAAACCTAGATTCTTGGGTCAGGGGACTCATACACAAAACTGACCTGATTAAACATTATGCTTCATTTTCTTTTCATAAATTCTCCAGTGATATCAGTAGTTACCCTTCCCTAATTTTTTTGTCATTACTTCCCACCGTGGTGATCAGATGGTATCGCTTGGCTTCCTAGCATCTGCTCCTGTATAAAAGCTTCATTGCAGGTGATCACAGGTAATAATTTATGTTCTGCCTGTGAGAGATGCCATCAGTGCTGGCGCTTGTCCAGCATTGCCTGCATTTCCCACTCATAATAAGAACATGAGTATGTTCAGTCCCAATCGCATCATTTAGCCAAGTTCCCATATTCAGGCGTCCCTTTCCTTGGATCGCCGTGGTACCAAGTAGAGCAGTGATCAGTTATCAATCACTAGGAGATCAATCAGTGGGTATCTCAAGTAGGAATAATTTAATACAGACATGATTTGCAAAATGCTTATTTGAGAAGAGAAGAAAGTGTGCTGGAGAGAGAAAAGGGTTTCACACAGACAGTAGGGGGTAGTGGTTGCTCCTGGTTGAAGCCCGATGGCCTGCTTAGGTGATGAAATTGGTGAAGGCATCTTTGCTGCCACCACTGCTGCTACTGCTAGCCATGCACCACTGCCACTGAGTAGTACTGGGGACTTCTATCCTACTCTAGTGACCTGCAATGGTCACAGTAGCTTTTGTTTCCTTCATGGAATAAAGAAAATGGCACTATCCCTTGTCAGAGCCCTAGAGGAAGCCAAGTGGTAAGGGACCTGGGAAGTGTAGTTTATAGAGTCAATTATAGGAGAGAATACGTGGATAGGTGTGCACCTTACCTATGGTCTGAATGGGTCCCCAGTGTGGTGGTGTGAGAAGGGAGGTGGAATCCAACAGGAAATATTTAGGACACTGGTGTTGCTGCCCTCAGAGAGAAGTAGTGTAGCTTCGTTGGGGCCATGGTTAGCTCTAATAGGTGCATTGTTATAGAAGAGAAGTGTTGAGGGCCATTCTATACAATTTTTGAGGACAAATCATTTCATAATTAAATTGTGATTAGAGCTCAACTGAAGCCCAGTATCTTGCCCATGTGAGCCAGCTATATTGTGTGGAAACATAATTCCAGTGCCTCCAGTTGAGGCCTCAGTGGTCCCTTGAGGCTGTGATGCTTCAGGGCAAGATTATATCAGCTGAAAATATCTTGGTTCCTTGAGAGCCAAGTTGTAATAGTAAAATCCTTGGGAAAAGACAAACTCTTTATTATTATTATTATTATTTAATGCTTTTTTTTTCAGGGTCTGCAGGGTCTATGTACCATCTCTCCCCATGGTCTTCATCCACATAAAGGTCCTAATTAGCATAAGACTGCCCCGACCTCTAAGTCATCAGAAGTGATCCTCATCAACATAAGATTTTCTCAGCATAAGATTCCCACCACCCTTGAGTCATCCAATAATCTCTCTGATTATTGTGTACACCCAATAAGTGGTGGGTATCCCTGACTGTCACTGTGTCTGCCCATCCTGAGGTAATGCCCTCCCAGCACCACTCCATGTGTACTTGGAAGTGTGTGTCTCTCTGTCTTTATCTCTCACTGTACCCCTCTCTAGGCAGCTCAGGTGACTGGTCATCCCTGACAAGAAAGACTGCTCTCTCCACACTGTGTGCTCTGTTTCTCCCACTTGTGGTCCTGCTGTTATGCCGCCTACCATGATGTGATGTGATCAGCAGAGCCCTTGCCAGACTGGTGATGTGCTGCTTGGATCTGTCACCTTCCCAACTGTAAGTTCAATTTTCTTTCCTTATAAAACACTTACCCTCAGGTATTTTGGTATAGCAATGGAAAAATGGACTAAAACACAGAAAGTGTGTTTCCTCGAATTGATGGAAAAACTAAAAAAGAAGACAGTTTGAGGTCTGGGAGATAGGGGATCCAAGACCAGAAAGGGGCAACCAGCAACCTCAGAAAGAGGGACAGGAGAGTTTCCCTCTTTCTACATTTTCTTGGCTACTGTATATGGAACAGATTCGAAAATTTCATATCTGTAAACTTCTTTAGAATGGGTGGTAGAAATAGAATAAGCTAAATAAATTTTTCTCTTTATCACAGGTCTTATAGTTTTTAGCTTTTAGAGCTGTATTGATTATATTTCTTTGATAAACTCTTAATATATTTTTAAAGTCCAAAACTTTCTAGAATATTATTTGAGTGAAAAATTATCATCTATGATTTAAGAACACCAACAATGTTCTTTATTTAAGTTTCCTCAAGATCTTTTACAGAAAGCACACAGTTAGTTACCCATCCAAATATAGAAAGACTTCGTGATTCCTCGAGTTGCACTCTAATTCTTTTATTTGACATTCCTTCAAGTCTCACTCAGATAACCATCAATGTATTTAAAACTTACTCACCTATCACTGAGACCCCATTCAAAGGTCTTGATATATATTCTGGACAGTATGATGCAACATTAGGTATTTAATTCTTTAAGGAAACATACTCTTTTCTCCTAGCTTTATTGTTTCTTCAGATCTTTTCTATTTGATTTCCTTCACCCACAGTTCCCTTATGTATTCTGGGCTGATGTCATTGTGGGGAAGGAACCAAATAAAGAAATACAAAGATGGGAAAAGCTTCAAGCCAAACCAATGGCCTGGGAGTTCTGAGGACTCTGTGAGCTGGGAGGGCTTGGTAGGGTCCAGACTGTAGGGTGACTTTTACAGAGGAACAAGCTCCACTGGCTGTAGCTCTAGGCTGACAGAGTGTAAGGGTCGCTAGGGGTGAATTGCTTGGGCTTTGTGGTGAGGGAAGGAATCTCTGCTTCTGGTCTTGGCAGCCTCAATGCAAGGCCATAGCAGGAGTCATAGTCTTTTTCCTTAGGTTAGTAGATTGTCTGGTTTCTTTACTTGAAGGAAAATCATATTTTCTTTGTATTTTCTTGGTGTGCTATAAGACATAAAATTGAAGAGGAGAGAAGGAAATTATGAGGAGGTTAAAATTAAAGTGGATATACAATAAACAAATCACAGTTATAAGCTACCCAAGTTTAGTCTTGAAAGGTGTATTCTGGGGCTGGTGAGATGGCTCAGTGGTCTAAAGCACCTACTTGGAACAAGCTTAGCAAATGCACAGGGACCGTGGTTCAATCCCCCAGCACCACATGCCAGCCAGCCCCGCTCCCAGTGGGCTGAGCTGGCCACACACACACACACACACACACACACACAAAATAAATAAATTTAAAAAAAAAAGGTGTATTCTGATTTTCATAAAGAAAATGGACAGAACTTGGTATAGTAGAACTGGGTGTACCTGAAACCTTTCTTGAGAAGAAGAACTGCTATAACTAAGGTCTTTTCTTAGGGAATTTCACTATTTTTTTGTAGCAGAGAATATGGAGAAAGATTGAGTTTAACTTTACATCAGTTAGATGACGGTTGCAAAAAATCCAGACGGTATTATCAGTTCTCAAACAAAATTTGAGAAGTTACTTTTAAGCCGATGTCCATTTACTTTTCAATAGTTTGATGAGTGAGAATGCAATTAAAATTTTTCTCACATTTCAAGTTTTGTCAAGCATTTTATCTGTACAAATTTCAGAACTTGCTGATATCCATCAGGAGAAGGCTGCTTCCTTCAGTGTGTTCTTCTCGTCCATGTTCTCTGCATATGCTCCAGTTCACAGCCATACTGGCTCAGGCGTGGACTCTCCTAGGCACCAACATCCCCATAGAATCCCCCACTGGTACAGGGTCAGTCCTGCCTCACTTTTTAGATCGGTCCAGTCTGAAGTCAAGTTGGCAGAAAGCCACCAAATTATTCGGGAACACTTGAGTCCTCTCAGACTTCAGGCAGAGGGGCAATCTCATTGGAAATTCCATAGTTTCTATACTCGCAATGAGAGCAGCAGCATCACGGAGAAGAGCAGCAGCGCAGAAGCAACAATAGCAGCATCCAAAGTAGCAGGGATATCACAAACATCATCAGTAGTCCAATCAGTAAGCATCTAATCAGTAAGCAGTAGTCTAATCAGTAAGTCTAATCAGTGGCATCATCAGTAGTCTAATCAGTAAGGACAGCAACAACAACATCGGGAGCACCACCACCAGCATCAACAGTAATAGTAACATTAAAAGCATCAACAGCAATGGCAGCCACAGCAGCAGCATAGACAGCAACATTGCAACCAACAACACCATCACCAATATTAGCAGCAATAGCATCATCTACAACAACAGCAGCAACAACAGAGCTACCAACAACAGTACCATCAACAGCAACAGCAGCAACATCAACAATGACAGCAAGAACAAAAGTAAAACTACCAAGGGTCAGGGAGATAGCTCAGTGGCATATGCACCTGCCTGGAAACTGCAAGTCCTGAGTTTAATCCCTGGTAAAAACAAAACAAAACAAAACACCCCAAACCACCAATAATATTATCATCAGCATTATTAGCAGCAACAATAGCAGCAGAATCAGAAAAAATAGCAGCAACAAGGATAGCAGCAGTGGCAACAGCAATAGGAACAATAGCAGCAATGGTAGCATTATAATCAGCAAGATTAGTAGAAGGAACAACAGTAATATAGACATTATCTGTAACAACAGCATCATCAACAAAAACAAAATCAAGTGCAGCAACAGTACCACCAACAGTTTCACCAATAGCATAACGAACAATAGCAGCAACAACAATAGCAGTAACACCAGAATCAATACTACCACCAGTGGCAGCAACATTTTTAACAAAAACAGATGCAACAATGCTATTGGCAACAACAGTGGTAATAACAGCAGCACTAACAGCACCACCTCCACCACCAGTATCAGCAGCAACAACAACAAAAGCAATAGCAATACTATCAATAATAGCAGGACCAGCAGTGTCAGCAGCATTACTACTAGAAACAATAGCAGCAATATCATTAGCACCATAATCAGCAACATTAGCAAAAGTTACAACAGCAGAAATAACAGCAATATCAACAACAATGGCAGAAGCAATAGCAAGAGTACCACCAAGAACATCAATGGCACCACTAACAGTGGCTGCAACAATAGCACCATCACCAGCAGTATCAAGAATAGCAGCAACAATAGTAACACTGACAATGACAGCAAAGCCAACAACAACACCACCAATAGTAGAAGCAACTGCAGCAGTACCAGCACTAATGGCAATAGCAACATCAGCAGCATCACAACAGTGGCAACATCACTACACTTAGCAACAACGACAATAGTAGGATCAACAATAGCAATAACAACAACTGTAGCAGCAGCACTAGCAGTAGCACGAGTCAAGGTGCAGCAGTAGCAGCAGCAACCCTAGCAATAGCAACACCAGTAGCAACACCAGTATTACAATCAGCAACACAAACAGCAGCAAAAACAGGAGTACCAACAATAGTAGCAGCAAAAGCAGCACCATCATCACCACCAACAACAGGAACAACAGTAGTATTGACAATAGCCATAACAATAGCAAAAACAACAATAGCATCATCAGCAACAATGGTTGCACCAATGTCAACGGTTGCACCAATGACAACATCAACAATAATGACAAAAATACCAGCACTAGTGGCACCAAGAATAGCAGCAACAACATCAGCATTAGCAGCAGCATCAGCAGTGGTGACAATAGTGATGATGGTGGCAGTGGTGTTGGCAACAGCAGCAGTAGAAACCACAGCAACAGCAACACCACCATCAACTGCAACAGCTACAGCAATATCATTAGCACCATAATCAGCAACATTAGCAAAAGCAACCAACAGCAGCAGTAATAGGAACACCAGCAGCAAGAGCAACAGCAATAGCAATGGTGGCATCAACAACAGTATAATCAACAATAGCAGCAACAGCAGCAGCAGCACCACCACCACCATTACTATCACCACCAACTACCACAAAAGAATCTCTAACCTCATCAGCACCGCCAGCAGCAACAGCACCATCAGCAACATTACCACCATCAATATCATCAGCAATAACAGCAGCACCAACAGAAGCAACAAAAACAAAATCATCAGCAACATTAGCAGCAACAGCAGCAACAACATTACTAACACCAACAGTAGCACCAATGATAGCAGCAACAACAATACCAGCAATGTTGCTACCAACAACACCAGGAATAGAATTAGCAGTGACAGCAACAACAGCAGCAGTAGCACCTGTATCAACAATAACAGCAACAGCATTAACGGCAGCAATAGTAGTACCAACAACAGCAACACTGTCATCACCACCACCAGCAGTAACAATAGCAGCAATAGCAGCAACAACAGCAGCAGAAACAGCAATAGCAACAGTGCTATTAATCATAACACTAGTGATGGCATCAATAGTAGCAATAGCACCACCAGCAATACCACCAACAGCACCAGCAGCGACTTCCACAACAGCAGCAACCAGTTACAGCAGCAACAACATCAACATTACCATTAACAACAACTACAAAAGTGGCAACAACAGCAAAATCAACACTAGCAAGAACATCAATAGGAACAATAGCAGTATCACCACCAGCAGCAGCAATAGTGGCATAATCAACAATAGTAACAACAGGAGCAGCACAACTATCACCATCAGCAGCAACAACAATAACATCAGCAACAGTAGTAGTAACATCAATAACAATGGCATCAACAGCAACAGTAGTACCAATGGCAGCAATAACAATGCAGCAACAACAGTCACTAATGTATCAGCAACAGCAGCAGCAAAATAGCTGCAACTACACAAACAACAGCCTAAATAGCAGCAGAACAATTAGCAGCATCAGTGATAGTAGTAAGAACAGCATCAGTAACGGCAGAAGCAGGCCGGCCAAATAGTGCAGCTGATTAAAACACCTGCAAACAGGGATGGGGTTTGATCCCCAGGCCTGCTGTGCTGGCTCCACCCCTGGTTCAACAACAACCAGAACAGCAGCAGCATCAATAACAATATAATAATATTATTGATATTATTATATCAATAATAATGGCAGCAATTGCATGCTGAGACTGCAATTGAGACGGGGTGGGGTGGCACATGCCAAAACTTGGGAGGCTGTAAACAGGAGAATCACTATGAGTCCAATCTAGTAGTGAGACCCGAAACACACTGTACACCCTTCCTTAAAATACGGAAAAAAATAGCAGCAGCATTAATAGCAACAACAACAGCATCAACAGCAGCAGCAGCAGTAACAGTTGCAGCAATACCAATAAAAGTAGCATTACCAAAAGAAGAACAGCAACAATATAAAAACCACCAGTGGAATCATCAACAGCAGCAATTGCAGCAGCAGCAGAAGTAGTAGAGGCAGAAGCAACAACAGCAAGAGCAACAGCACCAGCAATAGCAGCACCAACAATAGCAACTATAATAGCAGCATTAATAATGACCACAACAGCAGCAGCAGCAACAACGGCAGTAGCACAACTTCAACAATAGTGTTAATAACAGTATCAGCAACAAAGGCAGCTATAGAACCAACAGTAGCACTCAAAACAGCAGACTCAACAACAGTTGCAGCGACAACTGTATAAATAGCATCATCAACAATGGTGGCAGCAGCAACAACAGCAATAGCAGCATCAGCAACTACAATTATAACAGAGGCATCAATAACAGCCATAACAACAGCAGCAAGGACAACATCAACAACCGCTTTAGCAACAGCACCAGGAGCAACTACAGAACCAACAACACCAACCAGAACAGCAGCATCAACAGCAACAGCATCAGAAACAGCAACAAGAGCACTAACAACAGCAACGATAATGACCATAAAAGCAGCAGCAACAACACAAACAACAGTGTCAACAACAGCATCAGAAATAGCAGCAGCAGAGCTATAAAATCAATAGCATTCATAACAGCAGCCTCAACAATAATGGCAGCAATAGCGACCAGGGCAGCAGCCGCCACAATAGCACCACCAATGGCATCAACAATAGCAGTAACAGCAGCAGCAGCAACAATAACAAGTATAACAACAACATAAATAATGGTCATAACAGCAGTAACAACATTAACAACAATGTCAATAGCATCATCAACATCATTAGCAGCAGCAGCAGCAGCAGCAACTATAGGATCAATAGCATCCATAACAGCAGCATCAATCATAATGGCAGCAATAGCAGCTGCAGAAATAGCAGCACCAACAATAGCAGTAACAACAGCAGCATTAACAGTGGCAGCAACAGTGTAGCCACTATAGCAGCCAGGAGAGCAGCAGTAGCAACATCAGCAAGAGCAACATCAGCAGCAGAAATAGTAAAAGCAGTAATAGCAGCAACATTGACAATGGCAGCAACAGCAGCACTAACAACAGCCTTAATAGCATCAACAGGAGTAACAGCAGCAACATCAGCAATAGCAGCAGCAGCAACAATAGCAGAACCACCAATGGCATCAACAATAGCAGCAACAGCAGGAGCAGCAACAATAACAACTATAATAGCTTCATAAATAATGGCCATAACAGTGGTAACAACAATAACAACGTCAGTAGCATCATCATCATCATCATCATCATCATCAGCAGCAGCAGCAGCAGCAGCAGCAGCAGCAGCAGCAGCAACAGCTATAGAACCACAAATAGTCGCCAGTACAACAGCACTGACAATGGCAGCGACAGTAATAACGGCAGCAGTAACAGAAGTACCAGCACCAACACCAACAACACCAACACCATCACCAGCAGCAGAAATAGCAGCAACAGCAGGAACAGCAGCACCATCCACAGCAGTAATGGAAAGACATTGACAACAGCATCAACAACAACCACAATGGCCACAATAACAACAACAATAATAATGTAAACAACAGCAGCAGCTGTAGCACTACCAACTGTAGCTGGAATAACATCAACCAAAGTAGCAGCAACAATAACAGTAGTGAGCTGGGGAGATAGCTCAGCTGCATAAGCATCTTCCTGACAAGTGCAAGATACATGATAAAGGGGGATTATTATATATTGATAACTAATCATAATTTTATATTTTTACTATTTCATTTAATCATTTTTCACTGAGCTATCTCCCTGGCCCTATTTAATCATTTTTTATGTTTATGTATTCTCAGTATATTTACAGGTGGTAGAATACACACTTTCCTATATTTTGCTTTTTTTCCCATTAATGATACATCTTGGGGAGTTTTCCTTATCAGTGTACATACACTGCCTCTTTTTTCAAAATGGTCATACAGCATTTCATGGAATGACATATCGTGTTTAACTGCTCTCCCAGCTGATGGGCCCTTGGGTTGTTCCCAATCTTTTGTTACCTAATAGTGTTTTGGTGATCAGTTCTGTACACCTGTATTTTGCACGTGTCAATTCCTAGAAGTGTGGAATCGCTAGGTGAAGGAGTGTGGAATCGCTAGTTACCAGGATCCTATCATCATAGCGACCATTGTGGGTGTATCACAGAATTTGTTTTCCTACTTGCAGTAGAGGAGGTTGGTGGTTTCCTATTCTTTCTCAATTTGATTACATTCCAGGTACTTTGGTTTTTAGCAATAAAATAAATATTTGTATAGTGTTAATTTGCACTTCTTTGATTATGGAGGAGGTTGAACATATTTTCTTACATTGAAGAGTTGTTTTAATTTCCTTTTCACTGAATTAGCTGCTCACATCCTTTGCTTTTCTTTTTCACGGCTGCCCTTATGGCTTTGTTAGTGCTCTTTGTACGTTCAGGAGATCAGCCCTTACTTCCTGTAAGTTTGTCATTTTACTTTTAACTTATGCTAGCTTTTCAAGGTGGATTTAAACAAAATTGTGAATACAAATATTGATCCTTCTTTTATGGGTCTTAATTTTTTTACACATATAGGAAGACCTTTCTTATTATGAAGGTATAAAGGCGTCCTCCTATAGTGTCTTCGTTGTTTCACTGTTTCTTTTTTTTCAATTTTGTCTTTGGTTTATCTTGAATTTATCTCATTATACAATAAAAGGTACGGATTCAACCTCAGCTTTCTCTCCAACTGGATTCAGGGTTGTCCCAAAATACTTATTGAGTAGTTCATTTTGGAATCTCAGCTCCCTACCTCTGCATGGCTTCAGCATCCTCAATGGTCTCGGGCAGAGCCTTCCCTTTGGTCTCTGGGAGCAGCAGCACCAGTCCCCCAGCCACGAAGCCAACCACAGCTGCAAAGACGAATGGATGTGAATCACATTTAGAAAGGCAGGCTCTATAATCAGAGCTCCCATCCCCACCCTGTATTTTCCTATACTTATTTATAGATTCCTTGGCCAGCTCTGACTGTCCTATTTTCCATCATAAATATTCTGCCAATTCCAAACACCATTGGATTATAATTCCTTTTAGGGAAATGAAATACTTAACGTTTTGAATCAAGGTTATTCCAGGCTAGAGGGCATTATCACAATATTAAGATATTTTGGAGTTAGAAAAAAAAAAAAACTGAAAAAAAAAAAACCCAAAACCAAAGAAAAGGCAGAACATAGGCCTGCCAGTATAAAGCACTTGGTAATGAAAATACATCAGAAAACTTGGACCTTTAATAGCAGATTAAAGTAATGAAAGTACTACTCCATAATGGCATTAAAAACTATCATGAGGCTATTTAGTTCAAATGCAAGTGCTTGTCAAATTCCTGTCGCTCCTTTTTCTTTGTGTGTAATTATAATCTTTAATAACTGTGTTGATATTTTTATTTCTTTAAATTCTGATATAATGTTTTGGTCTTTTAAAGTTGTATCTTTATATACTGTTTCCATAATGGAACATAGGAAGCAGGACTTGGGATTTTTAGGCACTGCATGATGGACTCTGTGTGTGCCCTTAAGAAATGGTGGCAATAAATAGATGCCACAAGTCCCAGCACTGAGCCCTGGGTCTGACTCTGGCTCCTTCCCTGGTCTGCAAGCCTTGGGAGCTCTGGTAGTAGTAGCCTTGCCTCTCTGATTCCTTTTTGTCTCATGGGGCAATACTCTACCTCACAGGCTTGTTAGGAGGCTGAAGTGAGTAGTCATCAAGCACCTGAGACAATACGAGGCTCGTGGCATGAGCTATGGATGCGGCTACTAAATTCTTTGCTGCTCTGAGTCTGAGATCTTCCAGATTCACCTGGAGACTATATAGTGATGGATTCTTTGTACCACAATGTAATGAATCTCTGAAATGAATGAACTTTGACGAACAGATTCATCCAATCATCACCCATTTAGCATTTTACATTAACAAAAATAAGCCTGAGAGCGCAGGCCCGGCGAGTGAGTGAGACTGCCCATGGCCACGGGATCCTGAATAGACCCAGAGCGCAGGCCTGGTGAGTGAGTGAGATGACCCGGGGCCCGCCGGATCCTGAATAGACCCAGTGCCCAGGCCCGGCATGTGAGTGAGACCACCCAGGGCCCGGGGATCCTCATTGACCCAGAGTGCAGGCCCAGCAGGGAACCCTTCAGCAGAACTCCCTGCAAAGAGGCTAGAGGCAAGAGCCACCCAGCTGTTTCAGGAGCAGAACATCTTGCCAGAGAGACACAAAGGGTTCAACTCTAAGGGCTGCAGCGGAAAGAAATGGAGCACACAGCCAGAACCAAACAACACCCACCTGGAGGAATCTGAACTTCGTTGATCCGGGCCTCGTGCTAAGGTAATAACTCTAAGTTCTACACCGAAGGTCAGAAGACAGTGGTATACAAAATGACAAAGAGAAGGAACAAAATGCAGTCTCAGGCCCCGAGTCCACCCAGTACAAATGCAGAAGACACTA